TCCTCGTCCTCTTCCTCCTCTTTCCTCGTCCTCCCCCTCCTCCTCGACGCCTCGGCTCCAATCGCCCACTGATCGCCTGCCGACAGAGGCCCGACGGCCCACACCGTCCAGGAAGGTGCAGGTATGCAAAGTTCTCGGGGGCCTGTCACCGCTCAAGCTCGCTGCATCCCCCCCTGGGCTGGTCCCCCCCTGGGCCCGTTGCCCCCTTCACACCACCGCTGGAGGGAGCCACGATGCCTCCCCGAGCTGGGGATAGGGGATGGCGCGAGCGAGGGGGGGGGGCCGGGCCACACCAACAGGAGGGCCCTCCCTCGCGCCTCGCGCTGGTGGTGGTCGTGTGCACTTGCCCCTTTTCCGGCGGTGGTGCGCGGTCTTCGTGGCTCCCGTGCCCTTATTCTGCTTGGCTGCACGCTGTCGTCGGCTCGCGGAGGGCTCTCCCGCGTGTTGTCGCCAGTTCCTGTAGAGGCTCGCCCGCCTCGGGATGCGTTCCCTAGGGGGCCACATGCGAACCCTACCCCTACCCCCCACGATTTCTGAGGGGGAGGGTGGGGTTCACTTCGTTCGGGCGTTCCCGAGCGAAGTGAACCCCACCCTCCCCGTCGAAAATCGTGGGGGGTAGGGGTAGGGTTCGCATGTGGCCCCCTAATTCCAGCAGCCGTCCCTCGCCGGGAGCGTTCCGGGGGCGCCAGCACGGTGCCGAACGGCCGCCAGAGGCCCGAGTTGTGGCCCTCGAGAGCCAGCCCAGCTGCAGGCGGCCCGGATGAGTAGGTCGACCCTGCCAGATCAAGGGTATACCCTCGTGTCCTGTGTCTCGCGATCCATGCCTACCAGCTAAAGGCGGCCCAGATTAGTAGGTCGACCCTGCCAGGTCGAGGGTACACCCTCGTGGCCTGCGTCTCGCGACCCATGCCTCCTGCATTTCTGTGGCAACGTGGCTCTCGGGAGGGTCCTGCGTCCTCTCGCGTGTCCCGTCCAGTCGAGTCCGACTGTACGCGCGAGGGTGGCCCTTCGCCAGGGTGATCCTGCGGTGCGAGGGCTTCGGGGCGCTGGTGCCTGCTGCACGCGTGCCTTCGCTGCCGCATCGCACGCAGCGACCCGCAGCCGCGCTCCAACGGTCACCCTCGGCATGATGCAGCTCTTGGGAGGGCAAGCTCAGCATCGGCGCTGGTGTTCCAGCAGCGTCGAAGCGTCCCGGCGCTCCCGTCGTCCTGCCAAGCAGTGCTCTAAGAATCCTGTGTGGTTCCCACGAGATGTTCTCAGAACATTTCTGGCTGGGAGTGTCTTGTTTTATCACATCGGGTTCATGTTCCAAGAACATTGTATTTGTTCTTAGAACGCCTTTGGGTTCTAAGAACTTTTCGTGGTAGGACTATAGGAATGCCGGGACGGTCGGTCCCTGCTCAAGGTGTGTCCGTGGTCGAGAATTGGCATCACTCCTGCTAGTCCAGCTTGCTCCCACTTGGCCCCGCTGAGTCAGGCATAATCCTGGGCAGGATCTGGACCAGTCCAGCTTCGTGGCCCCTCCATCGGGCTTGATAATTAGTCCTCAATCGTTCTTGCGAAGACCTCCCGGGAGTTGTCTCCCAACTCTTGTTTGTGGTCACGTTTTCTGGCGTTTATCCGATTGGTCCCAGGTCGGCGGCGAAATCCGAGTCCTACCCTCGCCGATCAACGATTCAGGCAACTCGGTGGGCGGCGTGGGTAGGGTTCTGAGTTCGTCGAACACGTGGAGAAATCCGAACCCTACTCCGAGTCTCTTCATACGCGTCGGGAGGGCGTCACCCCCGCCGACAGCCCCATATCGACCCCCGTCGCGGGCAGCCACCGCGCGCCGAAGGCGCTCCGACCCCCGCCGCGGTGCGACGACGAGGCGAGGTGGACCCCCGTTGCGGGGGGGCACCGTGACGAGCGCGACACGGGGCGGCCTTGCTCGAGGCCGCTCACTTATCTCAGGCGATCGCAGACACTGCTCAGGGGGGCGAGGAGGAGGAGGAGGAGGAGGAGGAGGAGGAGGAGGAGGAGGAGGAGCGACGGGTCCCGCTTCCCTGGGAGTTCGCGGAGTTCTGACGCCGAGCGAGGCGGCCCCGGCCGCATTTTTGGGAGTGCCCCCCCCCCCCCCCCCGATCCATGGATTTGGCGGCCGCGCGCCAGACGCATGGATCGCCAATCCATGCGCGCGCGCCTCCGATGATCCCCCGCATCCGGAGCGGGGTTCTCTTGCTTGCTCTGCACCCCCCCCCGCGCCAGACCTTTCCTCCCCCCTCTCTTCTCGGGGGTTCATGCGTCATAGAGGGAGGGTTGTCCCAAGGTGGGGCTGGGGAACGGGCCCAGATGGATGCTCCCGTTGAACGCGTTTCCTTCTTCTAGGGGCCGGTCGGAGCGATTTTCCTTCCAACCCCACCTCTGCCCCAAACCCCATCTTTGTGCCCCCCCCCGATCTCTCAAGCAGCGGCGAAGCGTCCTGGCGTGCCTATAGGGCTACCAAACAATGTTCTAAGAACTTTGTTTGTGGTTTCCACAAAATGTTATTAGAATAGTTCTGGCCGGGACTGTCTTGTTGTATCACATCGGGCTTACGTTCTAAGAACATTGTCCTTGTTCTTGTTCTTAAAAATTTGTTTTGGGGTTATGAGAGAATTTCGTGGTAGGCATATAGGAATGCAGGGACGGTCGGTCCCTGCTCAAATTCGGGAGCCTTGAGACGGTGGTCAATGCAAACGGGGGTCAGCCAGAGCGCCCGATCTTGCAGGATCCTGCAGGGCCAGGGTCGCATTGACCCAGGCTTGGGTGCAGGATCCTGCCGGACCCTGCAGGATCCTTCGCGCTGACCCGGGCCTGGGTGCAGCTTTTTTTTGCAGGATCCTGAAGGGTTCTGCAAGGCCCGCCTGACCCCCGGGCCCGGATGGGCCCGGGTCAGAAGATCCCCGACACATCCTCCCTCCTCACCCTCACCACCACCACCACCACCACCACCACCACCACCACCACCACCACCACCACCACCACCACCAAAGGCAGGACGGGGGAGGAGAGGATGGGGAGGTCCTCCCCCTCCTCCTCCTCCTCCTCCTCCTCCTCCTCCTCCTCCTCCTCCTCCTCGTCTTCCTCCTCCTCCTCCCTCCTCACCCTCACCGCCAACGCCCGTGCACGCAGGAGCGAGGCGAGGGCGGGCCGGCCGCCCCTCCACCCCCACCCCCTGGGGGAGGGGGGGGGGGCAGGCGCTGCTCCCGGCCTCGAGGCGGCACCTCCTCCTCCTCCTCCTCCTCCTCCTCCTCCTCCTCCTCCTCCTCCACCTCCCCCCCCCTGTGCTCCGGCCGCGGGCCCCTGCTCTCGGGGCGCCCTCTGCCCCCCCCCCCCCCCCCCCTTTGGTCCCAGAGGTCGCCGAGCGCGCTCCGCTGCTCGCAGAGGGCCCGCCCTCGAGGAGCAGACGCCGTGCACCCAAGCTTTTTGGCGCTCCGCGCGGGCTCCGGATCCGCGCTGGGCCCCGCCCCCTGGCGGCGCCCAGGCCTGGGCCCCGCCGCTCCCCCGTGCTCGCGCGCAGCCGTCTGGGCCCCAAGACACGCCGCGCGGGGCCAGCGGGCCGCGTGGGGGTCCCGCGGCGCCTCGGGCCACCTCGCGCGCGCCCCAGCGCGCCTGGGCTTTTTGAGTCGGGCATGTCCCTCTGCTACAGGAGGCGCATTCGAAAAGAAGGCAAAAACAAGGTGGAAACGAATTCACAATTTGTTTTAGTATGTTGTGACTCTTTCGGAATCGTGTTTTTTTTAATTTTCCCCCCGAATCCGCCTGTAGGGGGATACGCCCAACCTAAGCCTGGCCGGCACCATCCGTCGCGTCGCCACGTCGCCAAGGGCAAAGGAGACGGGGGTCCATTGCAAACGGGGGCCAGCCAGAGCGCCTGCTCTTGCAGGATCCTGCACCGGGGGCGGCAAAGAGGGAGGTGATGACGGGGGGGGGGGGGCATCATGGCGCGGGCCATGGTATTTCACCAGATTCCATGGCGCCTCTTCTTGCTTCATTGTGTCCCTGGCCCCCCCCCCCTGGGGCCGCGCACGTGCCGCCGGCCATGATTGGCGCCCCCCCCCCCCCTTGGACGCCCCCCTCTCGGCCGCCCCCGGCTGCAGGGCCAGGGGCGCGCGGACCCGGGTCTGGGCGCAGGATCCCGCAGGATCCTGCAGGGCCTGACTGGCCCGGGTCTGGACCGACCCGGGCCAGGAGGTCCCCGAGTCGCCCTGGTCACGGAGCGGCGGCGAAGTCCGAACCCTGGCCCTCGCCGATGCGCGGGTCATCGAAGAAGGGAGGCTGCATAGCTGTTTCCGTCGGCGGCGAGGCAGGAGAGCTGCTCCCGCGGTGAGCGCTCGGGGCGACCGCAACGCACATTGAGGCTGCATAAACGTGAATTGTCAGAGCTCCGCACGGATTTCTGGGATCTGCGCTGGCCCCCCGTGGTCTACCAACGGTTTATGTGCATGCCGTGTTCTGTCCTTCTCTAATTACCCTCGCCGATCAACGATTCAGGCAATTCGGTGAGCGGCGGGTTGCGGGGTAGGGTTCGGGATTCGTCGAACGCTTGGTTAAATCCGAACCCTAACCCGTGCCTCCCATCAGTTCAGGAGAGTCGATGGATGGCGGGGGCAGGGCCCGGATGTCACCTCAAGGGCTGTCCTGACCGACATGGAGACGCTGCAATTACGACAGCTGTGGGCTCGGCAGGGGCTGCTCTGGCTTCTGGGCCGTTCCTCCTATCCAGTTCAGGGACCTATTTGGGGCCGAGGCTCGCCGTGTCCGAGAAGCTGGGTCGTTTCTTGCGCAGTGTTCTCCCCATGGCAGCACGATGGCTGTAACTCACCGCCCACTCTCACCGAGCGCGTGCCACTACTCGCAAAGTGCCTTCTCGCAAACGTCCGGAGAACACATGTCCGCTTTGATGTAACTTATCTTAGATCCCCCGCGGGGAATCCAGGCCATTTGCGAGTAGTTACTTTGCGAGTAGTGGAACGCGCTCGTCGACACTCGTGGTCTTCTGTGGCTCGCCTGGTTCCGACAGGCATTGCCTCCTTGTCCGGCTCCGGGGGCAGGCCCGCAGCGTCGCATGCGCTTGCCGGCAACGTGCCCGGTGCACTGGGCGAAGGTGGCGCGGCGTGGAGGCGAGAGCCACGTTTTGAAAGCGAGCCGCCCTCCATGCGCTTAGCATGTTGCGAGCTTGTAAGAGGAACGTGTTGGGTGCTAAGGCGAGGGCCACATTTGAAAACCAGCCACCCTACATCTCTGAATACGTTGCATAGTTCAACCTTCAGGGCCATATGTGCTGAGGGAGTATGCGGCGACCCGCCCTACCCGCCCTACCGGCACGTCTGGGGGTGCGACAGGGAGGAGTTATGTGTAAGGAGAAGGGATGGAGAAGGAGGAGGACTATGGTCAAATGAGGACAAGGTACTGGTCCCGCTGCCATTCGTTCGTTTTCACATTTGCAGTCCTCCTGTGACGGCCTCCTTGCCTCGGCTGGATTCGCCTCGAAATTCGGGTTGAGGCGCACCCTGGGAGAGGTCTAGGGAGCAGCGGGATCCTTATTTTTGAGTTTTTCCCATGAATGGCGAGGGAGGAGGACAAGGATGAGGAGGAGGAGGAGGAGGCGAAGGAGGAGGAGGGACGAGCTAGAGGTGGAGGGCGAGGTGTGTGCGACGAGGGGCTAAGCGCGAGGCGTGCTCAAGCAGGGGAGGAGGGAGGGATTATGGTGAGTAGGGAAGGATGAGGGAACATGAGGGGAGAAAAAATGGTGTAGGGAAGAATGTGAAGGATGTCAAGGCTGTGAAGGATGGAGAGAAGGTCGGGAGGTCGAGGGGATGAGGGAAGGACGCGGAGGAGGAGGAGGAGGCGGAGGAGAAGGAGGAGGAGGACGAGTTGGAGGAGGAACCTCCGAGGCCTCCATGGCGCTCGGGCCGTTTGTCAGAGTCATCGCGCAGGTCGCCATGGTTGCCGGCGGCGCCGTTGGCAAGGTCCACGGTCTTTACCGGCTTCGGTTGCGTTCGCCCTTCTCATCAGCGTCATCGTCATCATCGTCATCATCGTCATCATCATCGTCAGCATCATGAAGTCATCGACTCATCATCACCACCATCATTTAGTGTCAGCTCGTGAATAACAAATGACTAACCCCCCCTCCAAGGGATGATGATAGAACCCGCGGGGCGCGATACCCTTTTTTAAATGACGCGCGCCACGGGATCGTCGCTGGCGCCGCCGAGGGGATCGTGTACCCTCCTGCATGACAGCCTCAAACCAATTGCCTTTCGTATAGAAGTTGTGGTTGGGGTCGTACACATCCGAGGCGAATTGTTTCCCCCTCGCAGGCGTCGTTGTCGTCGTCGTGGCCGCCGCCGCCGCCGCCGCCGTCGTCGTCGTCGTCGTCGTCGTCGTCGTCGTCGTCGTCGTCGTCGTCGTCGTCGTCGTCGTCCTGTCGTCCTCGTCGTCGTCCTGTCGTCCTCGTCGTCGTCGTCGTCGACTACAGCAGCGGGCCTGCGCAGCACCCCCCCCCATAGAGTATCTGCCGTGCGTCGTCGCCGCCGTTGCCATTTGCCGTCCGCCGTCCGTCGTCATCGTCCTCGTCGTCGTCCTCGTCTTTTTTGTCATCGTCCTCGTCGTCGTCGTCGTCGTCGTCGTCGTCGACGTCTACAGAGACCACGACAGAGGGGGGGAAGAGGGCTGCCCGCCTTGCTCGGGACGGACGAAAGGCAGGGGAAGGAGAGGGGGGGGGGGTGAAACCTGCTGCGCGCAGATGGTTTCGGTCGCCCCGCCGAGGGGCCAGTCGTCCATGCATGCCCGTTTTCGGCGCCAGGGAGCGCTCGGAAAATCAGCAACGTGAGCTTCTGAGCAAATCCCCGCTTGGCCACGCCCCCCTTTCGTTCAGCCCGCGTTGCTCGCGGGCCCACGAGGCAGCTGGCGCCCCCTGGCTGCGGCCAGGGCGCAATAATCGCATCGGTTCGACAAAAAAGAGCACGGACAGTGCGGGGGCGAGCGCCGCCAGCAGTTCTTCTTCATTTCGAACAGGTGTCGCTCTGGTTCAACGTCCCTGCTTTTGCCGCTTTTGCTTTCCGCCCCATCCCCTCCCCCAGTCTGCTGTCTGTCGCTTTCCCGCTGGCGGCTGGGCGCCGGCGATAATCGCCAGTGCCGCCGCCGTTGATTTTCAATATGGCGGGCACTTTCCCGCGATTCACCCGAGTAGGGACATTTTTTCCCAACCATCTTGTGGTGTTGGGTTGTCGTTGTGAAGAGACGTCGCCCCGCGTTTTCCTCCTCTCCTCCTCCTCCCCCGCCGTCGTACCGTCCGCATGCGTCCCGCACGCCCACTACAGCGTTTCGTGGCCCACCTCCCCCTCCTTCCTGCGTTTCACCCACCCAGTACAGCGCTTCGTGGCCCCATAGGGAACCCCACCGAAGGTCCCAGTGCTACCGTCCGCACGCGTCCCGCGCACCCAGTACAGCGTTTCGTGGCCCCATAGGGAGCTCCACCGAAGGTCCCACTGCGTGCTACCGTCCGCATGCGTCCCGCGCACCCAGTACAGCGCTTCGTGGCCCCATGGGGAGTTCCACCGAAGGTCCCCGTGTTACCGTCCGCATGCGCCCCGCACACCCAGTACAGCGTTTCGTGGCCTTCTTCCCCCTCCTCCGTGCGTTCCACCCACC